CAGCTTCAGTAGCCAGGTTGTCGTAGAATTGTCTTTTGTCCTTCCTGGCACTCTTCTTCACTTCTTTGTCCAGTGCTGTGTAAGTTGAGTTCAGCGTCTCTTTCTCTTGTCCATCTTTGCATTGAATCATTTTCTCTTTCACCTTTCTCCTCTCCTCTATTAGCTTCCAAGTGTCTGTTGAGAGCCATTCCTTGTCTTGTTTCTTCTTTCTTCCTAAAACCGTTGAGCACGTTTCGTTGAAAATTACCTTCAGAGAGTTCCAATGGTCTTCCACGGATGATTCCTCAGTGGTGCCACGTAGTGTTTCCTGCTTTGCTCTGACAGTTGCAGTGAAAATGTCCTGTGTGATTGTGTCCTTCAGTTTGTGAGTGTTGAACTTGCATTGTGGCCTATCCCCAGGTATCCTCGAGGCTTTCAGCTTCACCTTGAAAGTTCCTTGTACTAGATAGTGGTCTGAACCCACATCTGCTCCTCTCCTCGATCTTGTGTCCAGTAGGCTCCGTCTCCACTTCCTTGAGATTGAAATGAAGTCTATCTGGTTTTTGGTGTGTCCATCTGGTGAAATCCATGTTGCCTTGTGTATATCCCTGTGTTTGAACACACTGCCACCAATCACCAAATCATTGAAGGCGCAGAAGTCTGAGAAGAGTTCACCATTTTCGTTCATTTCACCGAGGGCCTCACGACCCATGGTGAGTTCTCTTCCTGTATTGTCTCCTCCCAGTTTCGCATTCATGTCACCCATCAGGATTTTGATATCGCTCTTTGGGACGTTGTCCATTACTGTTTGTAGTTGACTGTAGAAATCCTCCTTCTTCTCATGTTCTGAGGCGTTTGTAGGCGCGTAGCACTGAATGATTGTAACCTTTTTTCCTTTTGAGTTGAACCTGGCTGTCATTATCCTGGAGGAGATTGGTTCCCACTGCATGAGAGCTTTAGCCGCTGTTGGTGACATCATGATGGCTACTCCCTCGGTGTGCTCGTGATCGTCCTCTGGGTGACCGGAGTAGATTATTGTCTCTCCAGTTGATAGTTGGCTCCTTCCACATCCGTTCCATCTGCTCTCGCAGATTCCCAACACTTCTATTCTATATCTCCTCATTTCTGCGGCTACCTGAGCAGCCTTCCCAGCTTCGTACATTGTACGAACATTCCACGTCCCCATCCTTATTTTCGCTTTCATCGAAAGAAGGCACATCGGCTGACTGGCTTCCCGAAGGCTTTCACCAGCCCGCGTCATTTCACTTCCCCGATTCCAGCGAAAAATAAGGTCACTATTTGTAATTTTAGAATTTTGAATATATTTGTGCGTTGAAGTTTTAGTAGCAATTTGGTTAAGTTTTGGGGGTGGAGTTGCTAGCACCATGCCCCAACCCTCCCTCTTTATCCGGGCTTGGGACCGGCTAGAATACTAGTGACCTAGTAATCTAGGCGAGGTTATATATAGATGAAATGCTAGTACAGAATTTTAGTTTGAAAGTCAGTTTGAACAAAGAATATTGTTTTCAGCAAACTCCCTTCAGATTCTCATAGTTACAAAATAAAATATTCCCTGTCAGTAAAATAATGACCAGGTTTGCAATGGATGCCTCTTTCCGTAAAATCGGTGGTACACCGGCTCATCGTGAATAATTAAGGTAGGAAATGAATGAATTGGAGCCATATGATAAGAAAAGAGATAATGATGACTAATAATGAGTTAGAATAGCTTGAAAGTATTTAAATATAAGTGAAATTCTATAGGATGGGAAGCATATTGGAATGAAGGGCATTCATTATAAATGACTTCTGTCAGTGGTTAGTTTGTGGGGATTTCATTTGTTTCAAGTTCGACCACGGATTGATATCAGTTAGAGAACTGTTGAAAGCCAGGAAATACTGGACAGCTGCTTCACTCTGGTTTGGGACCCATCTCATTACGCATCGATGTCTCATCCATGTATCAAAACAAGGGACTGAGTGCGTAATGTAGTTCTAGTGAAAGGCGAACACCAACAAGGTCCACCAAGTCAAAAGTGAGGGCGAATACCTGCCGATGACAGTGGCTGGCGATGGGACTATAGATCACCAACTGGCGGAAGTCAGAGTTCATTGAATTCCCAGTGGCTAAATAGTATATTGGCAAGCCTCGTAAATTAGTGGTTCCGGGTTCGATCTCCAGTCAGATCACGGGTGCGTGTAGGTGGAGGCCAAACAAACAAACAAGGCCGATACAGTTGTCCAGTACCCTATGGTTCTCAATGATTCTCTAAGTGATATAAATCCGTGATTAAACTTGAAATAAAACAGTGTGATCGAAAACTGTTCAGACAAAAAGAAAGAGAAATGAGAGTTAATGATAGAAGAGCAAGGAAGCTTCATGCAGAGGAGAGGGATTTTTAGTTCAAGGTCGGCCGTGGTAGAACCGTTTGAATTTGCTTTTTTTTAACTGCAAAGTTCTGTCCTGCTTGATCTTAAAACAATGGCTTTAGCTATATTTGGGTGAACTTCGAATGATTATATCTTTGTAATGTAGTGTATTATCTTGAAGGCTGCGTTGGCTTAAATGTGATGTCATGCGTTTACCAAGCATGATAAAACTGAACTTTTAATGCATATAATTTCAGGCTTTCTCAACTAGGAAGATAAATGTTTTCGAATTTGTTGACAAACTCGCCTAATCGTCCACTCTACATAACTTGAACCACAGGAATAATTAAAAATATACGCACTACATACCTAGCTATTATTACAGTGATAAAAAATACTTCATAAGTGTGAGGACCAAAATGGGTTTTATTGGGAAGAATATTTTTCATTTAGGCCGACTTCGAATTCATCATATTTGATTTCTGGATGTTTTTTATTGAAAAGGATTGATATGACTGTAGAAAAATCCATATTTAGAAAACCCTCATGGACTGGAGAGTACATACATTAAAAGATCTTTGTTCCAACCCATCATATTAGGAATTTAATTTGGATACTGTTCAATGCGGCACACAAAATCTGCTCTGATAGTACTAGTGAACATATAAAAAAACTCTGAAACATATTTATCCAGGAATATATGTGTGTATATACCGATCTATTTTTATCAGAGATGGAAGCGTAGAAATCCATAAAATCATCTTAAAAGCTGAAAAAACGCCATTTTACCTCAGTTTGTCATTTAAAAAGGACTATGTGCAAGAAGCAGTAAAATGAAGACCACCAAAGCTATAAAAACGACCTATTATGCTGCAAAACTCGTACTTCTCGACATAATCAAGCGAGTGCTTCCACAATTTGAAAAAAACCAAATGCCAGTTATCGACACTTCTAACTATAGATATCAATTTCTTAGTTATTAACATAGTCAAAGCTATCTTTTATCAAAAAAAAGGGTTTCACTTCTGCCCTAATTCTTTTCAGCATGATTATTATTCGTTGTATAAACCTTTGATATAAATACATCCTATCCCTAAAACTTGGATGTCAATTATGGTGAAGTGATTGAGCATTAATCCATTGCAATCTTAGTTTTCAATTTGTTACACCCTTTCACCACTTTGCACTTCTAAGACACTCACTCCTTTCTTTTTGCCATGACAGATTGTGGTAAACATATATATATATATATCATTGTTCCCTTGGGTTCCAGTTATAATATAGGAATTCAGCAAGACATTTCCATTTTGTTCTGTTTTCTGCTGTCATCTTTAGCTTGGTTCACTATTGTCCATAACCTCCCATCTCCTCAGTGTCATTTTCGGATTATCCATTAGCCATTTCCTATTCGGATCTCGCTTGAGCGTGTGGCACTCGATGTCATTCAACAGCCTCCTCAGCGTGTGCCCGATCCATCTCCACATTCTCCTACATATATTTTGAGCGATGGGTACTTGGTGAGTTTGTTCCCATACTTTCTTGTTGCTAATTCTTCCTGACCAGAGAAGGCAGTTGTTGATAAAAGTCTGCAATCTGTTGGAAATCCTTTTCCTAACACGCCAAGTTTCTAACCTATGTGGAAGAACTGACTTACTCCAAATTTGTGTTAAAAATCGCAATCTTTTTGTTTTATGCTGAGTGAAGAAGATTTCCAAACTAATTTCAAATTGATGAGGGTGTATCTTGCCTATCCGGTTTCGGTTTTGACATCTTCATCCACCCCCCCTATGGTTGAAATGATTCTTCTTAGATAAGCGCAGGATTTAACCTCTTTCAAATTCCTCCCGTTGATAGAGATTGGTGACGTTTGATATCACTGCTGGTTGGTTGTCTTCATCACCTCCGTCTTCTGTATGTTCAGTTGTAGTGCTGTCTGATATATATATATATAACTTTCATCTGAGAAGTTTAATGGTATCATAAATCCTAATATAATTTACCACGACTCAAATTCATGTGTAACAAATAGAATTAATACTAAATAATAATAATAAAAATGAGTCCGTTGTTAGCATTTTACTCCTACTTTCTCATTCTGTTATCCTCCGAGTAAGTCTTCAAGTTAGCAACAGAAGAAAAACATCTCTGGTCACATTCTCGTAATAAAAGTTCTCTCTCTCCAAAGATATTTTAGCTATCATAATAATTTCTCTTACCAATGGAATGAATATATCTTATAGCAATATATATGCGATATAAATAAATCTTAATTTATATTAAATATTTATACATGATGTCAGTTGATTACCATTAAGAAACGTCTCTTCAGTCCAAATAAATATATCATCCATCCGTCCGTCCGTCCGTATACGAAAATAGTAACATACAATATTTATTAATCTTAATTGGGATATAAACTAAACAAGAGAATATATATAATAAATGAAATAAACCGTAAAATATAATTTGTCTTGCTATTTTCATTCTTTACTTGACATATAATTTTTATTAATTACTAATATTTATTACACTTTAAAGTAATTCATTTATTTATTTATTCTTTTATTTATTTATGTATTTGTCTTCATTGGTTAATTATTTTGACAGAAAGTGTCAACCAATGATAATTTAACGCTGTTGTTATTAGTAGTAGTAGTAGTATTATTATCATTAGTATTATTGTGATTGTGATATTTTTTCTTATCCACTCAAATTGTCTGTAATTATCTATAGATACTCAAGTCATATTGAGAATAAACGATATTTTTTATTATACATATATATAAAAAATAAACCTGTGTGTAAATGAGTAAATGTTAAAGTATTTAATGACTGGAAAATCCTCTTATTTTGACCTGAGTAACAACGAATAAGGTTATATAAACAGATATATATATAAATATATATATATATAAGTAAATCTCAGAAATTCATCAGTAATTATTACGTGTGAACACTTAAAAATAAATAGATTGTGAAACAACAGAAACAATGAATTTCTCTTGGTTTCTTTTTAAAAATTTTATATTCATCATATTTTTCAACTATGCTGTAGCGTATAGAACAAATGCTGCTGTGGGTGAATTTAAACATTACTCTGAAGATTCGTGTGAGTTTTAAAGTTTAAAGAATAGAAGTGAAATATTATTACTATTTTTATTATTATTATATTTCTTTTGAGTTCTAAGTGGATCACAAGGCTTTAAGCTTTAGCTTTGAAGTTTTAGCAGCGGTGATGTATATTTACGGGTTGGGGGTGTTGGCCTAACCCTAATATTGACCGGCTAAGGAAGGTAAAGGTGTGCGCGCCGGCCGGGAATCAAATCCCGGACCACGTACATAGTTTGCCAGCACTCTACCGCCGAACCACCGACGCTTTGTAGTGATTATATACATATATATAACTGAATTTGTTTCGTTATTCTGTTGCCTCGGTGAAATTTCTTCTGGGATTGAATCACTTCATTTTTTTTCAGTTGAAATGTAGAAATTCATATCAGAAACTTCATTTAAAACATAACGCCTGACTGAATCACCCCTGATGAATACGATCCTCATACCTGAGGATATGAATGTTGAATTAAAAGTGTTCTTTGAAATGACGTTTTATTCAGTAGAAAGCTGAATAACATTCAAATTAGCATTTTCAATGTAGGTTAGAAGTTGATTGCCACTTGAATCATTTCAGCTCCTGATGAAAATACAGTCAAGTTAAGATCTGACTAAGATATTAATTCTATACTTTTAGAGAGAATTCGCAGTGAAAAATGATTTTCAATCGTACAAAAACAGATTGATAACACGCTAACAGAATTAACAGGATTCACTTCTTCCACGTCTTCGCATTATCTAAACTTAATATCGTAAATAAACAGTTTAGTTTAGGGGTTATGGAAAAAGAGGCAATTTACTATAAAATAAGGAATTGGGAAAGTGTTGAAGTAGAGTAACACCACATTGGTTAGAATTCGCAAATTAATTAATTCATGATATGAATGTTATGAAAATACATTGACACCGACAGTGTGAGCATAAACACAATTAGTGGTTTTAACACGAGTGTTATTTTTACAATACCTTTAATTAAAACGCCTGTTATTCTAAGTGATAACAGTTACGTAAATCAAAATTATCGGCGAGATGTATGATGTGGCAAAGTGAAAACTAGTCATCCAGGCATAGTTGTCCATTATTCCTTCACTAAATGCAATTTTTATGCTAATAGCTTGTAATTCATTATTTTAAGAACCCAGTCAAACTGAAGAGCATATGCTTGAATTTTGTTTCATTCCATTGTGTTCCGAGTCGAAAATAGGGCTTAAAACTTGAGCTTTGAAGATTCAGTGGCAGTGATCTTTTGTTTAACATGGTGGGATTGCCAGCCTCATGTGGAACCTCTTCTATTTACCTGGTTTGCTACCGGCTAAGTGATGTTTCATTGTACGTTAGCCGCTAATCAGACCTAGAGAATGACTGGCCAGAATTCTTCCACTGAGCCACCGATTACTCTATACATAAACAAATTTCTATGCAGACCACACTTTTAAAAATTATGTACACAGCCGAGAGAAATAACCTTCCTTCGTCTCACATATATCTATCTGTGCGTCGGTGGCACAGTGGTTAGGACTCTTGACGACCATGCACATGGTCCGGGGTTCGGTCCACTACCAACGCACACCCGATATCTCTGGTGGGCCTGCAAAATTTGAGCTACCGATATCCATGCTGAAAATTCCATACTTGTACTAAAAATACGGTATGGCATCAAGCTGTAATCAAAAATAAAAATAAATAAATGTAAATAGGTAAACACAAGAAGAACTTTCACCTACTTTAAGCCTCTTTACTGTACATTTTTTGTATCGCAAAAACTAACCCCATCTTGTATTGGATTTCATGTAAAGTGAAACGTATTTTAATCTCACATGATTTATTTTCATTCTAAAAACGCACTTTTGAGATTTCAATGAATTTCACAATACTAATTTACTCTAATTTTATCATTAAGAATATACCAAATACCTTTACGGGTTATTAACGTGAAGAATTAAAACAAAAGCAACCGGTTTATAGGAGTAATATCAATGTTTAATAGGTTAGCTTTCAAGAATTGGTTTTTGTAGGGATTCTGTTTTTTCAGGTTACATCACGTATTGATATCAGTTCGAGAACCATTAAAAACCAGAGGGGAGAACTGGACAGTTATTTCATCCTAGTCTGGAACTCACCGGCAATACGCATCCACTGGGGTTCGAACCCGGCACCTTCTGGTTAAAGGCAAGTCCGTATACCATTCAACCACTGGGACCCAATTCAGTGGCTGATGAATTCTAACTTCTACCAATTGGTAATTTTAACGTGACCACCAATCAATGTTATCGGCAGGAAACCCATCCTCACACTTGACTGGATGGACATTACTGGTCATGACTTCTCAATATAACTCCAGGAAACTCCGTCATGTAAGCGGTCACTAGCGATCATCAGATTAATTTTCATGAGTTATCGAGTCGGGTCCCAGTGGCTGATAGTATAAGAGCTTGCTCTGTAACCAGAAGTTCCTGGGTTAGGAACGTAGTGGGTGCGTACTGCAGATTAGCCTTCATTTTAAAGAAAATGGAACACTTTAATAACTTCCCGGGATGTTAAAGTTTAATATTTTAAATAAGTTTATCTCAGAAAACGTGCTCAACAAATTTGTAGTCATGTCTCAGTATGTGTTTCAAGTAGCTGCAACTTTACCACTATTTGTCTCATTCACTTTGCGAAAAAAATTGTGACTATAAATGCAATGAATTCAACGTAAGGTTGATTATTTAATTCATCACAAAATATTTTCAGTAAGGAAGATTAGTGTTTCATACGAATAAGTGGAAAACTACTTGTGTTATAATGCAACAATAACAATTAGGGAATGAACATTCTTTCCTACAAAAGCAAAGAAATCACCTGCTATTTAATTAGGTCAACCATTGAATTGAGTAGTTTTATGCCCAAAAGCATAAATCCATGACTGGTGTATTCTTTATAGGTTTATCTAGAGATAGTCTGAAAAACTGACCGATGGTCTTTACTCTGTTTCTATAACATTACAAGTAAACTAGAATTCCTATACTAAATTTAAAAATATTTCATAAGCCATGAATGATGGCAGATTGCTTTCACTCAAAAGCTGTTTGTTAAATAAGTTGAACAAAAGGAATAAACATAATTTATTTATGTAAAAACAACCTTTATATCAAGTATTGAGCTAATTCATACTTAGTTTTTATTCCACCACCGGTTATTATTTGTATTTCCCCTTTTAAAAAGATTGTTTAAAATAATGTTTATTGTTATACGTATTAATATTGTTTATATTAATAAATTATGATACTAAAAATCTCTTATATTCATAAGGCATACTAAACAATTTTGTTTGTGTCTCGTCATTATAAAGTACGAAGTAAGTAAACATTAGCTTTGTATAAGCAAACCATGAACAATAAAATGAGCAGCCAAAAGTAAAAATCCTTCTGTTTCATAGACCCAACTTCAAAAGATTATGAACTTATTTCTTTGGATACTTTAAGGAAGCAACAAATTATAATTAACCCTTTTCGATGGGTTTTATAAAAGGGTTTTCAAAGTTGTTGTATATTTATTTTAGATTACATGCCATACATAAAATTAACAAACTTAATTCTGTATATGGTTTTAAGTTCTCTGGCGAGTTTTTCAATGGTTAGGTGTCTTCCGTTCTCAACCTTCAGAGAAGTTGTTCAGTATACTGGATTTAGAACCTTATTACATGTCGGAGATCCGTTTCACCTTTTATTCTTGTGAAGGATTATGAAAAAATCTGAGAAATCTGCCGTTTAGCGAGATTCAGTGCATATGAACAGTTGCTGTTTAGAATCAGTAAATCTAAACAGTTCACCCCAGTATTTGTCACTTAAGTGTAATCATTAAACAAAGTAGTAACATATGGTAGTTCATTATCTGGAATGTTTCATTTTATGAGTTGATCTGTATGAGATAGTGAATGATCCAGATCTTGTTACTTATCGGTTTTCAGCCAGCAAAGGTCTGTCTGAAATTTATGAAAACTCATCTGCTTTCTGAATTGAGAGTAAAAGTCTGCAAGCAGTTAAAATGAAAAGGACAAATAAAGTCTACGTGAATTTCTACATCCTGCATTATTTCTTTCTACAAAGGCGTATATAGTATACTACTAAAGACTAAAGCGTTAGTGGCACAACCACGCCTCATGTGGTCCAGGGTTCGATCCCCCGGCCACCGACGCACTCGTTTACGTCGCTAAACCAGTAATAAGACTGGTAAAGAGGCAAGGTTGGGCATGAGGCTAGCAACCCTACCCCGTAAAAAATAAATACCACTCCTACCGAAATATCAAAGCTCTAGCCTGAAGCCCTGTGTTCCACTAGGAACGTAAAGGAATAAAAATACTAAAAACCAATCCTTGCAATGAGTTACACCAGCGTATACTAAAAAGGAATTAAAGACTGCTACAATAAGTTTAACTTTTTTTATTTACGATAAATGATGACCTTCAGATAACATAAAGCCTTATATCAGTAGAACTAGGAAACAAATTTAATGGTTTGATAGTTTTAGACGTAGGTAGAAAATTATATTTGTAACAAGATTCACATTTTCAACACCAATGTGAAGTCGGTTCTTCTATACGGGTAGGAAACTTGACCAACATGTCACGAAAAGGATTTCCAACATGTTGTAGACTTTCATCAATAGCTGCCTTAGCACCATATTGAAGATCAAATGGCCGGAGAGAATAAGCAAAGAGAAACAATGGAAACAAACCAACCAAGAGCCGATCGCTCAACAAATAAGTAGGAGAAATTGGAGATAGATCGAGCATACATTGAGAAGGCCACCGAATGACACGGCACGCCAGGCCATGGCTCGAATGGAATCCCGTTGGAAAGCAACGAGTTGGTCATCCTAGGGTGACATGGAGGAAATCGTGTGAGGAAGAGATGACAGAGTTTGGTCAGTCGTGGACCCAGATGAAGAGGATGGCAGAAAACATAACAAACTGGAGATGTGTTGTTGAAGCCCTATGTTCCACTCGGAATACAAGGG